TCTTGAGCCACAAGAGTTGGGAGTTCACCTTCCCGATCGTTACACCATTTGTTATAACATAGGCTTGTTGAGGTTTGTAGATAGTTTTAATCCATCCAATAAAACCCTTGCCTAAGCCAAATCTTTGTAATACGGTAAAAAAAAGCATGTCCACTCGATTCCGTCAAATGCCTTTTCAGAATCTAAAGATATAACATAAGCCATATAATTTGTCTGATTCGAATATTGTATAATATTTAACAATAGTCTAATATTTATAAATGAGAAATGATTGTGGACAAAGCTGTTTGATCAGGGTTTATAAGCAATGGGAGAATGCCCCCCAGTCTCATCGCTAATAGCTTAGAGAGTAATTTAGAATCGACATTGATGAGGCTGATCCGCCTATATAATCCAAACCTATCTGGTGATTAATTTTTATTTAAAATTAACGAAATATTAGCCTGTCTAAGTGTTGGGGAAAGACATTCATTCTTAAAAGAGTCTAAAAAAATATCTGTCAATGATCTGGCAAGAAGATGATGTAGTTTTTTAATAAAATTCTGAGCAGAAACCAACAAGTGCTGATGCTTTTCCTCCTTTAAAAGAACTGATAGCAAGTGGCACTTCCTCCTCAGTCGCTGGGGTATTTAATGCTTCCCTTGGATTCTCTGATAACGATACAAAAAGTGCTTATCTAAAAATCCTGCCATCTTCCTATCTGTATTACTACACTCTGATGAGTACACGTTCACTTAGAACTGCTTCATAATCAAGTTGATGCCTTTTTCTGCATTGTGGTATATGAACTAATACTACCCCTAAGATAGGCTTTGGCATTTATGATTTATTCAGACTGCTTGGCTTTATTTATTTTCCTTAATACATACAAACATTTTGTTTCTCAAAGTCTGTTTAATGAACTAAAGCACTTAATTGTAACACACATAAAAATCAGGAAGGGAGAAAATACTTTGCAGCTTTCAAATGTAAAATCCTGTACCAGTTACTGCAAAAACTAGTGTGAAATGATTTGGAGTTTTGAAAGAAATGGATTTAAGAACAGGGATTACCAAAGCACAAGTTTAAATATAAAAAACCATTCAAATTTAACTGAGGTAACACAAGATAAATAGATGAAAAACAAGTTTATTAAAAAAAACTAAGAAAGTTGAAATGAAAGAAATTGATGCATATAGCCATACACTGATATTTGGTACAATGTAAGTTTGGTTAAAAACAAAAAACATATTCACATAGCGTTTATATTACTTTAAAAAGTGCAACTACTAAACACTATTGTGTTCTAATTGAACAAAGATTAACATTTAACAGGGATAGAAAATTAGAGCATTAAATCCCTCAGGGGAGAAAACCTTGATTTTCATGTCTATGCTTGCAGATTCCCAAATTTAAGATCCAGGATTATTCACTGCCAGTCCAGAAATCAGAGCTACCTCATAACATCCAAGTGTGACATCAGCTGCACTCTTTACAGGAGACTCTAGATGAACTCTGTGGAGCCTGATCTCAAAGTTTTTAAGTCTGACCCTGAAACCAGAAGAGGATCTTTCTGTCTCTGGAGAATCATTGTGATCCAGTGATTTCAGTCCTGCATGATCACACTGATGCCATTGGTCACAGCTGAAGTTCTCTTCCATGTGTGTACGTTCATGAAGGTTATGACTGCTCGATCGTGAAAAGCTTTTGTCACAGTGTCTGCATTTGTATGGTTTCTCTCCTGTGTGGACTCGTTTATGCACTTTAAGCTCACCTGCAGTGGTGAAGGATGACCCACACTGGTCACACACGTACTTTTTGACTCCACTGTGAATGAGTACATGCTTTTTTAATGCACTTGATGTGGGGAAGCCTCTCCCACATTCTTTGCAGTAGTTCATTTTGTCTCCAGTGTGTCTACGCTGATGTATTTTTAGGCTTTGTTGCCGAGTGAAAGTTTTGCCACAAAGGTCACAACGAAAGTCTTTCCCACCACCACAGTGACGACAGGGTTGAGAACTGGATCCATCTGTGCCGCTCTGCTTCTAAACAAAGACACAAAGACAGTGTAAGTCAGGGAATTCCTTCAACATTTTTAGAACTTTTATTGTCATTGTGCAGTTTCTTGCACAGCGAAATTGGGTAGCATGTGGAAGGGATTAAGCACCATCACAGATTACAAAGCCAGAGACACTGCGCCGATCAATGCAAACTCTGCATTTACCAATGAGCTGAACGCGTTCTACACCAGTTTCGAGGTTAGCCAGGTGGCTAATGCTAACTACTGCCTTACAACAGAGGACGGTGACGTCAACGGCAAGGGACCGGTGATCCGTATTGTAAAGCACGCCGTCCATGCGTCGCTGAGAGTGAACACAAGGAAAGCGGCTAAGCCAGATAGCATCACCGGCCATCTGCTGCGTCTGTTCTGTGGACCAGCTAGCAAGTAAGCTCACTTCCATTTTCAGTGAGTCTCTGGCAAAGTCTGTGGCCCCCACATGCTTCAAGAGATCCACAATCATCCCTGCGCCCAAGAACAACAAGCCCTCATGCCTGAATGACTACCGGCCAGTTGCACTGACTTTGGTGGTAATGAAGGTGTTTGAGAGGCTGCGGAAAAACATCATCTCCTTCTCCACCACAAATACCACAGATCCACTCCACTTTGCTTACCAACCCAACAGATCCACAGAGGACGTCATCGTCCATATCCTGCACACCACTCTCAGCCATGTGGACAGGAAACAGGGTAACTATGTGAGTAGAGCAGTGGCGAGAGAACACAGGGGTGTGTTCTCTCACCACTGCTCTACTCTGTCTATACTTCAGACTGCGTGGCCACTCATAGCTCCAATACCATTGTGATCTACCGACGACACAGTGGTGTTGGGTGTCATCTCCAACAACGATGAGGTGGCCTACATGGAGGAAATGAAGAATCTGTCATTGTGGTGCCAGGATAACCACCTCCAGCTGAACGTCTGCAACACCAAGGAGGTTGGTGTAAGTATCCCAGTGTCCACATCTCCTCAGGTATGACATGGTCTGCCCACATACAAAAAGGCTAGCCAGCGCCTGTACAACTTCTGACAACTGAGGAAGTTCGGTGTCTGTCCAGGGATCCTCAGAACTTTCGATTCAGCCCCTGTGGAGAGCATCCTCACACAGAACATCTCATCCTGGTATGGGAATGGCTGTACTAAGGATGGCAGGTTTATATATTAGATTGCTGCTGAAGGACTCCTCTCCTCTCCCTACAGGACATTTACACCAGGAGATGCTGGTCCAGAGCAGCTCAGACACTGAAGGACCCAGTCCATCCCAACAACAAACCGTTGCTCCACGCCATCCAGTCAAGAACAGAGACTCAAGACCAGCTTCTGGTTCAGGACATGCAGATTAAAATAATTCTTCATTTTTGCATCCAGTTTATTTAAAACAAAAACAACTGTATCTAAGCAAAAAGTTATATCATGTTCTTCATAAATACACATGAAAAGTTGCAACCAAATCGGTCTCGCTCCCAATTTAAAGCAACAATAACTGATTTTAGTTAGTAAAGAAGATAATAAGTCATCTAACACTGGCCAAATTGTAGCAGTCTTAACTATGGGAGAATGGGGAGATTGTGACTACAGAAGAGTTATTACTTACTGGTTTTATGACTATGGAAGAAATAAATAATGGCTGAGACTAAAATCCAATAAGCACTGCTTTTATATGCAGTAGAATTACTAAGGAGTTATTACAGAAAGTTAACAAATTGAATGAGCAGAGTAGTTCCAAACAGTCAG